CATAGTAGTGCTTCGCGCGGTCGTAGGTTGGATTCCCTGCCGGATCATTCGCCTATAAATGGGTCACTACAGGCGAGCATTGATCAAGTAGCGTAGTTGGGAGCCTTTTTTAATCATCATGTTGCCGCGAAGACAAAGGCAAGAACCCGTCGCGACGATCTCACGACTTCTACCGGCGAGCCCGGCCAGTTACCGCGTGACTTGCTCCATAACTCGCTAACAAAAAACGTTTTGAGCAGAGTAGAATCAGATCGCAATCAGCGGTCAAAAATAATAAAACTGTGTGAGTTCTCATTGCATAAGCAACTCGATCCCCAGTTCTTGCGCTGCGTTAGAGAATTTTGGTGTCAGGCCATCGTGTTTCGTTTCGGCTAGCTTATTGGAAGCTATGAGCGATTGTTAGAATTGTCCATTCGGAGAACAGATGGCGATCGACGCCATTGCGATTGTTCCCCAGAATATTTGATGGTCGTTAATGGAAATCGTTGGTAATTTAGTTGGAGACGATGATTTGGCAACATATGGAGTTCATCTCGAAATGTAACTAAAGCTGTATCCCTGTGACGTCTTGCTTTTGACGAGGCATCTCTCTTGAGTCCCTACAGCTATTTCAATCGATTGGACAATTTTTAGAAAAACAGATGGTTATTGATGGCATTGCTCCCTTCTTTGGTACATAATCGTAATGCCATCAATAACCAAGTGCCCGTGAATAGAAGTTGCTGTGTGAACATATGGTGGGACGATTTTGTCAGGGATCAATACACTTTGGTCCTGGAATTAGGTGTGGGGTTAGTAGGAGACAGGTCCTGCTACAAGCCATGTGAGGCGCTATCGCAGGATACGGGGGCATTGTGGTGGCAAGCACTTAAAATCGCATAAAACATCTCCTTATTGGAGAAGTGGGACCAAGCCTTAGCCAGTTGACGAGAGACTTTAAGGTGCTTGAGCAGTTCTCATTTCCTCTATAGTTCCTTCCCTCTCTTAGGCTTAGTTCCTGAGGGTGCCCCCTCGTCTTGCGATGCCCCTGTAAGAAGAGTTGAAGTTGGAGAGTACCCGTTAGGAAAAAACCATGAAGAAATGTACCGATATGGTGCGTAAATAGATAGAAAAGGAGATTGATGATGGGAGAAAGAACTCTCAGCTGGGTTCTTTTCTGTTTTAACGAGTCATTGAGTATATTTTTACTGCTCGGCGGGGGCGAAATCCAACATATGTGCTGCTGTGGGAACCCCGTGTTGCAATGTGATCCTCCTGACATAGCGCCGAGTTTCTTCGCCTCCGTTCACCAATACTAAGATTTTTAAATTTTGTTTCCGTCACGGGTAAATTTATTCATTCCACTCCTATCTCTTCATCCTTCCATCTTGTTTAGAGTACTTCTCCTTATTTTTTAAATAGACTCAGTGTTTGAACATTCTCCACTTGAACTTAAACTTGGATTTGTGACCTATTTCGGAGAGGGCCTTGCTTCAAAATAATCTGGCCTTCATAGCCCAAAGAAGGATACCTTTGGTACGGGAACTTATACTATAAATTTTTGCTTTTAGAAGTAAGTGTGAATTTTCCACAGGAGGCATAGTGAGCTAGGAAGCACCGTCTACTATAATATTGTTTCCTGGACTTAAAGGCACGGGTTCCGATTATCTTTGGAGCACTTCACTCATTAAGCATCTATTGTTTCACAGTTAAACTCTGTGTCCCAGTTCCTACCACTTGGAATGCGCCCTTGAATATCTCGGTAGTACTGAGCAAGACCGTTCATCGAACGAAACTGATTGTTTCTTCATGTGCAGTTCGTCGTCGTTCAGCACTGGCAATCTTTTCGTTTGCCGATTGTTATGTTCTCTTCATATGTGACTGCTGCCGAAACATGCAGTATGACGTGGCTCTGGCCAGACACAATACCGCCCCTCCTACCTTTTCCCTTTCAAGGCCCAAAATCAGTTTTCTGCCTTCCTCTTATTCTTCTTTTGTAATCAGGTCTACTTATTTCAAA